AAATTACCCCCCAACCAGCTTGCCTTGCCTCTGCATCTCCCCACGCTCCTACCTTGCACTCTCTGCGTGCAGGCTCATGAGCTGCTCTGACCTTCACCGAGGTTGATCTCCTCCAGGATCTGGCTGTACCTCCGGGTGAGAGCTTTGGTGTTTTTGGTGAGGTCGGTCAGAACCTGCTGTAAACCATTCATGTGGTGGGACAGCCGCTCCTCCAGATTCCCATCTATGCCATCATTTGGGGCCGTGTCGGATTCAGCATTGCCGGTGGGGCTCTGATCGGTGACGGAGGCCAGGCCTCGCTCCACCACGGGCTTGATGGCCTTGAGGAGCTGGTAGCGCTCATACAGGTCTGCGGGGCCGCCGGCAGCTGGGTCGGCGCCGTCCTGTGGGAAGACCCCTCGCAGCAGGCTGGGGAACATCACCTCCTGCTCCATCTTCTGCGTGGCTGAGAAGTACTGCTCCATGCCCCGTGCCTCGGCTCTCCCAGCGTCCCGCCGCTGCCCGGCACCTTGGAGGCTTTTTATAGAGTCAAGGAATGTCCCCGCTCCTCTATCCCTCTGCTCTCTCCTGCTAGGCTGGGTTTGGCTCCAGCCCTACTGGGCTCAGCTGTGCTGTGTCCCTGGCTCTGTGCCCCTGTCCTCATCTGAGCACACCCTTGTCCTTAGCCCCAGATGGCTGTGATGCTGCCATGTCCCTGGGCACGCATGGAGCAGGGTGGTGAGGTACCTGGGGCCTCTCACCCCTTCCTGCCCAGCACTGCCATCCCCCAGCTCTTGCACTGCAGTGCTAGTTCCCCAGCACTACATGCAGCCTCCACGTGTGCTGCTGGACCTCCCAAAACCATCAGGAGATGGTCTGCTCCCCCTATGCTCCAGCAAGGTCACCCAGAGCAGGTGCCCAGTGGATATCCTATAACATCTTGGGGCTGCTTGTGCTACCCTCACACCAAAAATTATCGTCCCATGTCTTCCCCCACTAGGGATCCCCCAGTGTCCCTCGTGGATGCTCCCTCCCCATCGCACAGGGTAACGTGCAGCCCCAGTGCTGTGGTGTGGTATGACTGGGATGTGGTGTCCTGGTCATCCGATGAGGTGGTTTGTGGCTGTTGACACGCTGGGATAAGCACTGTGGTTTATCCACTGCGTTTCTGACACTGAGCCTGCACTGCCAGCTCTCACATTCCTGGTCCATCTCCTGTTGTCACATGGAGCTCCAGTGCTGCCATCCTGCTGGGTGAAGCTCTGTGAACAGCAGAGTTTTTCCCCACAGTGCTGGCAGCAGTGACTGCGCCCAGGAGCCCCTCAGAGCTGAGCAGAGCCCAGCATGGCCCTACCACTGCTGTGCCTGTCCCTGCTGCTCCCAGCCGTGTTGGCCATATGAGGACAATGACCGCCCCGTGGCCACCTGCCTCTTATCAGCTGCATCCCACCCTGGGCTGACACTTGCCTGGGGACACGGTGCCGGGCTGCCAGGGACCTCTGGTGCTCATCCCACGTCACAGAGCGGATCTGGAACGTCTCACAGCTCTTATCAGCCATGATCTATAGCAGTACTGAGCACTGGGATGTCCGGAGGTGACACATCCATGGGCACCCTGAGCCTCTCAGCCCGAGCCAAAGCACAGCCCAAGGAGCCCGCAGCCCTCCTCCCTGCCACCACTGTCTTGTGATACAGGGGCTGTCCTTCTTTGGCCACAACAACTCCATGCAGCATTATGGGCCTGGGGTGGAATGGAAAGATGCGTGTTGGGAAAGGATTTGGGTGTGGGGGAGTATCTGTGACAAAGCAGATTTTATCCACAATTGCAATGGCAGGAGCAGGAGCGTGTGCACAAAACAGTGCTACATCTTTTATGCCCTATTGCTCAACACTTATTTTTTCCACCCCTGGTTCCTCACTGGTTGAGTACTTCAGGTTCAAAATCTTCCCAACTTTCAGCTAAAGATACAGATACTGGAAAAACATAAATTGTTGGTAGCTAAGCATATATGGCTAATTAGTTAACTTCTCACATTTGCTCACTCAACATTAGGCTGCTATTCCTGGACACTTGCTGTCCTTAGACAGAGATAAGTTTGGAAGGAAAGATGTAGGGGGGTATCTGTTGCATTCCTCATAATCCAAAAGTGGGACAGTTTGAGCTCACGTAGAGGCCCTAGGATGGTCTTTTGCTGAGGGCCTCTGGGCAAAACAGAATAGTCTATAATACAGAACCTGCAATTTTTGTACTTATTATTTCATCTTACCTACTAAGCATGCATAAATATAGAAAGTTTAGCTAAAGGACAAGTGATGAGGATTATTAAAGACCCTCCTTTGTTGGAATGAAGAAAGATTTGTTAGTACCAATAAAAGTCACTAGATGACAGCACAGACCATAAAATACTCCCCTTGCTAGTTCTAATCGCAGAAACATTACGCCTTCTGCACAGGTCATCTCCCCCATTTGTTTCTGGCCAGGACAACACAAAACATTCCATGCATAATCGATGGGGTCTTCCATTATTTGGCAGCCCACCTTCTGCTCCTCTGTCACACGTGGACCCGTGTTTCCTTGCCACTCACTTCTGTCAGACACTTCAGGTTCAGCAGGGCTTGCCACTGCTCAGCTTGACCTTTGTAGCATCTGCTCACAGCCATGCCAGGTGTACAAACCAGACATCTTGTGATCATGTTGAGAGGTTCTGTCTGGTGGCACAGTTACAATCTTCTGGTTTTCTCCTTCCGTTTCTGCTGAACTTGTTTGCACCTCCCAAGGTCTTTTGCTAATCAGAGCTAGAATGTCTGTATTTCTCCCCATGATACACAGATTAAAGGAAGCAAAGTAAAGGACCCAGATAAACTAATTGAGGGGGCTTGGAGAGTATACAGAAACAGGGATTGTAATGAAAGAAAGAAATTGGGAAGAACAGCAGCTGCTGCATTAGAGCAGGAGATGGAAGGGCACAGGTTTTGCCCCCAGTGCATTGAAAGCAGTGTGTAAACAGCAGGGAAATGGAGCACTGGTGGAGGTGCACCAAGCTGAGGGGGAAGGGAACCACCTCTGATCACAGAAGCTGAATGAGGAACTTTGGAAGTGGGAAAAAGAAAGTAATTATCTTGCTAAAGATAAAAAAGCTCACACACAAGGCTCCTAGGTGTAACCAGTTGTGTGTGTATAAAAGGTTGTAAGAACCTACAATAAAGGTCCTTGTTCTGCAGCAGCAAGGGAGTCTGCACCTCTAGCAGCACGGGTAAGGGAGCTTGGAGAGCTTGCCAGAGAGAAGTTTGATCACAGCAGACCGATGGCTAGGATTTGATTGCAGCTAGGAGAGAAGGGTAAAGATGTTTGTTTTCTGGTAGATACGGGTGCCTCTCACTGTGCTGCACCAAGAATTACCACCCATGGATGATTCTTGTAGCAGTAGAAGGAGCTACTGGCCAACAGGAAAAAGCTTACCAATTAAATTTAAAAAAAAATGGATTTAAGGGTAAAGCAAGAAACAATAGGAGTGACTATAGCTGTGAATAACCTTCTGTGAATGTTTTGTTTTGTAAAGAGATCTGATTTAGTGGTTTGCTCTGTTTTACAAGCAGGTATTCCAGCTGGGCTCTGTATCACACACTGGCCATGCAGATGTGGAGGACAAACGGAAAAACCCTGCAGACCCTGAGAAGAATAAAAGCAGGAGAGTATCAGTGATGGGTGAGAGAGGAACAGAGCACTTTGAAGCAGGGGATGCCCTGCTGGCACTGCCTGTTGCACCCATCGTGGGCATGTTCCTCCTCTCTCCTTTTGGCAGTTTGCAGTCTCCCAAGGGTCGATAGGCAATAATACATGAGCTTAGGAAGTTTCCATTTCCCAGTCACGGAATTGTCTAAAACAGATTCCTGTGTGAGTGTGTGCATATCGACTCAAAACATGCTGACCCACTATGTGACTTTCATGTTTAGCGTGTTATCAATCGAGGCTTTGATTGAGTTATGATGATTATGCTATTAATAACTGCTGTGGTTTTATACTGTGGTAATAGTTTGCTAATCAACGAAAAAGGGGAAAGTTGTTAGGGAGGATGGAAAGCTAAAAAGGAAACTTGTGAATATATTCGGGGGTGTCGCTGGGGGCAAGATTGAGAGAGAACTTGCAAAAAATAGAATCACAGCATGGCCTGGGTTGCAAAGGACCACAAAGATCATCCAGACCCCTGCTGTGTGCAGGGTCACCAGCCACCAGCCCAGGCTGCCCAGAGCCACATCCAGCCTGGCCTTGAATGCCTCCAGGGATGGGGCATCCACAGCCTCCTTGGGCAACCTGTTCTAGTGCTTCACCACCTTCTGGGTGAAAAACTTCCTCCTAAGATCTAACCTAAACCTCCTCTGTCTCAGTTTAAGACTATTCCCCCTCTTCTTATCACTGTCCACCCTCTTTTGTCTCACTGCATTTGTGTGTGTTCTAATTTGTGTTCTGTGCTTGCTGCAATGCATACAGAAAATGGTACAAGATGCTATGAAGTATGAAGCACACTTTTTTATCAGTATAGAAGGGTACGGTGCTGGGGAGGATGTAACTGTGAGGGATTCATCAAGGGGCTCAGCAGACTCCGTGATAGGCCTTATTGCTATGAGGCTTTGAGAGTCTGTAATCTAAGACAAGGAACAGGTGGGTTAAAGGGCAAACACTTGTACCAGCAACAGTGCAGCCAGCGCTGTTGGAGCACAGCTGAGCGTCTCTCTGTGCTCAGCTCTGGTGAGGCTGCACCTCAAGCACTGTGTTCAGTTCTGGGCTCCTCACCACCAGAAAGACATGGAGGCCCTGGAGTGTATCCAGAGAAAGGCAACGGAGCTATGAGGGGTCTGGAGCACCTGATGGGGAGCAGCTGAGGGAGCTGGGATGGTTCAGTCTGCAGGAGAGGAGGCTCAGGGGAGACCTTACTGCCCTCCACAACTGCCTGAAAGGAGGTTATGGTGAGGTGGGGGTCAGCCTATTCTACTGGGTAACAGCAATAGGATGAGAGGTTGTGTCAGAAGAGGTTCACATTGGATGTCATTTGGCCAACCTGCCCACGGCAAGGAGGTTGAAACCAGAGGATCCTTTTCAAACAAGGCTGTTCCGTGATTCCACGATTAGGAAACATTTCCTCGCCGCCCCCCCAGCTCCACTCGGGACGCGGGCGGCGCCGCTCCGCCCCTCCCCGACCCGCCGCCACCCCCCGCGGCCGCCCGTCCCGCGGGTTCCCGCCCTCCTCCGCCCCGCCATCTGGGGCCGTGTCGGATTCAGCATTGCCGGTGGGGCTCTGATCGGTGACGGAGGCCAGGCCTCGCTCCACCACGGGCTTGATGGCCTTGAGGAGCTGGTAGCGCTCATACAGGTCTGCGGGGCCGCCGGCAGCTGGGTCGGCGCCGTCCTGCGGGAAGACCCCTCGCAGCAGGCTGGGGAACATCACCTCCTGCTCCATCTTCTGCGTGGCCGAGAAGTACTGCTCCATGCCCCGTGCCTCGGCTCTCCTCGCGTCCCGCCGCTGCGATGGCGGCTGGGAGCTGGTGACGCCGCGGCTCGGCGGCCGGGGCCGCCCGTCTGCCTTCGTCCCTCGACGGGACGCCACAGTGCTGTGTTTTGGGAAGGGACGCGCGGCCACTTGTCGCTCGCGCATCCCCCGGCGTGACCCCCTGCGTTTGGGCAGGGAGGGGGCGCTGCGTATTTCTCTCATATTTCCCACCTAGGAGCCCAGCGTGTTCCCAGCGCGTCTGCGTGCTTTCAGCCTGTGTGCGGTGCTGTGCACTACGGCCCCCTGGTGCGTCAGCCGCTGCTCCTGCTGTAACGTGCAGGAATGCTGCTGGGGTGTGTAGGGATGGGGCCACGAAGGCCATGGCCCGTCTGCAACTGGCAAAAGGCACAAAACAAAAAAGGTTTCTGTGGGTATCTCAACCAGAAAAGGGAAGTCCAGGAGGGCTTTCCTTTTCTGAAGAAAGTTCCAGGAGAGCGTACCACCCCACCGTGGTGGGTAACATAGGCAGGAAAGGGAAGAGCCAGTGATGTTACCATTCGGGACTTCATTAAGTCCTTTTACACGGTAGCCCACTACGTTCTTCTCTCCAAATTGGATAGACATGGGTTTGGTAACTGTTCAGTGGACGAGGAACTGGCTGCAGGATCGATTCCCGAGAGTGGTGGTCAATGGCGCCATGATGGAGATCAGTGACAAATGGTGACCCTCAAGAGTCAGTGCTGGGACCAAAACTCTTTAATAACTTTATCAGTGACGTTGACAGTGGGGTCAAGAGCACCCTCAACATGTTTTCTGAGGATAGCAGGCTTTGGGGTGTGGTCATCACAGCAGAGGGATGGGATGCCATCCAGAGGGACCTAGACAGGCTTGAGCAGTGGGCCCAGGTGAACTCCTGAGGTTCAGCAAATCCAAATGCAATATCTCGAACCTAGTTTGAGGTGACCTCTGCTACCAATGCATGGTGGGGGATGAAATGATTGAGCACAGCCCTGCCAAAAAAGACCTGGGGGTACTGCTGGATGGGAAGCTGGACCTGAGCCAGCACTGTGCCCTTGCAGCCCAGAAAGCCAACCGTAAGCTGGGCTGCATCCAAGACAGCGTGGCCAGCAGGACGAGGGAGGTGATTCTGCCCCTCTATTCTGTGCTGATGAGGCCTCAGCTGGAGTACTGCGTCCAGATGTGGAGTCCTCAGAACAGGAGAGACATGCAGCTGTTGGAGTGCATCCAGAGAAGGGCCACAAAAATGATCCAAGGGATGGAACATTCCTCCTATGAGGACAGGCTGAGAACTGAGGCTGTGCAGCCTGGAGAAGAGGAGGCTGTGAGGTGACCTGAGAGCAGCCTTTCAGTATTTAAAGAGGAGCTACAGGAAAGATGGGGACAGATTCTTGGGCAGGGTCTGGATGGAAATGGTTTCAAGCTCAAAGCAGGTGGATTCAGGTGAAATGTAAGGAGAAAGTCTTTATCAGTGAGGTTGGTGAGGCACTGGAAAAGGTTGTCCAGATGTGTGGATGATGCCCTATCCTGGAAGACTGTCAAAGTGAGGCTGGATATAAGCCTTGGGCAACCCGATATAGCTGTGGATGTTGCAGTGCATTGCAGGGGAGTTAGGCCAAGCAAATAGAGACAGGATGAGGGGAAATGGCTTTAAACTGGAAGAAGGTAGTTTTAGACCATATATTAAGAAGACATTCTTTACCGTGAGTTGCTGGCACAGCTTGATCAGAGAGGTTGTGGATGCCTGGAACTAGATGATCTTCAAGGACCCTTCCAACCCTAACCATTCTGTGTTGCTATGACTCTATGGATGGGAGGAAGCGGAGGTGGGACGGGGAGGTGGGATTTGGGTGTTGGGTCCCCATCCCCAAGATGAGTGCATGGGGGCCCTCTTCCATGCCCAGGAGCCGCGTTGCTCCAAATCTAGATGACAATCCCATTTGTTTTTTTTTGTGGACGAACAGCAGGGCATGCTTCTCGTATTTAAGTTTGCTAGGCTGAAAGTGCTGCTCATAGGAAATCAAAATGGAGATGAAGCTGAAGTTAGAAGAAAGCACAGTGTACCTGGCTGTTATCCAGGTTGTTTCATGAAACTTTGTCCATGGAGGTTTCCAAAACCTTCCAGCTACTGCCGTGTCAGCTTCCTCCTTTGTTGGAGTGGCAAGTGAAGGAATTCTCTGAGCTTTAATGTTCTGCCTTGACGAGATCCAAATCTAAAAAATCCACCAGGGAATCTACCAGGACACACTGGGCATCCTATGGCCGGTGCAGGGGAAAGGCACTGTGACATCACAGAGCAGGGCATGACATCAATCTTTGCAAGTCACGCTGGCAGCCTCCCCCAGCTCAGACACGTGGAGCGGCCGCTCCGTCCTGGTGGTCACTGCTGGAGCTCTGCTCTGGGTGACAGCCATTTGTGCATTGAGATTGTTCTTTGGGAGAGAACAGGATGAAGCTCAGCCTGACTCTCTTCCTGGCCATCGCTCTGACCATGTCTCCATTTGTGGGACATGGCCCTGGCTGTGCCAGTGGTTTCAGCTGGGTCTGGAATTGGGACGAAAAGCTGGATGTTCCTGAGGAGCAGCATCCAGTGGAGTCCAAGAGCCAGACCTCCAACCAGCCCTGCTGGTTTGGTCTAACCTCCTGTCCCATCAGGATCGAGGACAGGAAGACAAACCGGATCCTTCCTGAGGAGCAGCATCCAGTGGAGACCAAGGACCTGACCTCGTCCTGGCTCTGCTGGCTTGGCCTAACCTCCTGCCCCATCAGGATCGAGGACAGGAAGAACAACTGGGTCCTTCCTGAGGAGCAGCATCCAGTGGAGACCAAGGACCTGACCTCGTCCTGGCTCTGCTGGCTTGGCCTAACCTCCTGCCCCATCAGGATTGAGGACAGGAAGAACAACCGGGTCCTTCCTAAGGAGCAGCATCCAGTGGAGACCAAGGACCTGACCTCGTCCTGGCTCTGCTGGCTTGGCCTAACCTCCTGCCCCATCAGAGTTGAGAATGGGAAGAACAACCAGGTCTTTCCCAAGGAGCAGCATCCAGTGGAGACCAAGATCCTGACCTCCTACTGGCCGTGCTGGCTTGGCCCTTCCCAGTGCCCCAAATGGTTCAGGTACAGGGACAGCAAGATTGCCTTTCCAGAGGGCCCAAAGCAGCAGTCCCCGGGCACCAAGCAGAAGGCCTACAGCTTGCCTGGCTTCCTGGGCCACCTTTGGGACTACTTTGTGCTTGAAGGGAGAACCTGGCTCCTAGATTCCTTGATCACCATTTGCATTCTCTGCCTGCTGGGAATTGCCCGCAGCCTCTGGAGAAGATTAAAAAGACCATGGGGACAGGTGAGCGATGGAGATGCATTGTGCAGGAAGGGTACCATGAGTGGGGAGCGAGGAACCATAAAGACCATGTGCGTGAGGACATCCAAGGAAAGCAGACCTCCAGAGGTCCATTAGCTCTCCCCAGGGACATGCCAGCCACGGGGCTGCCATACAGTGCCCTGTGCAAAACGGGGCCTGCCAAAGATGGTGTGAACCCCACGGGCTGCCCTGAGCTGTCCTGCGAGGCTGGAAATGCTCCGTGTCAATTAGAGCTCTGCTGGGTGATTCTCTGCAAAACAAGCCGGCATCCCTTTCACTGTGCCCATGCTCTCTCACTGCCAGGGAATGGGAAAAGCAGCCTCGGTTTCCATGCAAACTGAGTGCCAGGAAAAGGATGACAAAATTCTTTCCAACCTGCCCAGCATGATTGAGGATCAAATAAGGTTTGAGGTCAGTGACCTGCCAACCTTCCGCATGCTACCAAAGTTTTGTGCACAGAAAACTGCTTGATGACTGCAGTGTCTTCTACTGGGTGCATGCCAACGTGAGGATGAGCTGCGCCATGAACACCTCCTGCAGAGGAGTTCTGCATTTGCCCATCAGAAAGATAACGGTTGGTGTCACTGATCTCTCTTTCCAAGGCTCTTCCAATTCCAAACGAAGACCGGATTAAACATCTCTTGGGACAAAATTCTCAGACCTCCCAGAAGAATGAGCTGCTTTGCTGCCCACACCTGGCATCCAAATCAGAGACAAGGAGGATCGGCTTAATTAACTTGGGAAACACTTGCTACATGAACAGCGTCATCCAGTCTCTTTTCATGGCTTCGGAGTGAGTTGTTGCTCTCTTGTTCCCACTTAGGACAGCTCCAGGGTTGATTTGTGCACTGGCATTGTGCTTTCCACGCTGATTTTCCATCTTGGTTTGCATCTCTTGTTGTCCTTTGCAGCTTTCGGCATTCGGTGTTGAATTTAACTGAGGGCATCTCCCAGCCCCTGATGACAAAACTGCAGTCACTCTTTGCACTTCTGCAGCACAGCGAGGTAATTATTCCATGTTCCAGTTATTTGTTTGGACTGTTGACTGTGGAACGGCTCGTCTTCAAGTTGCTTCCTGCATGAGTGACTCCAGATGGCACAGACCCATCTGTCCCCCAAAGACACAGTTTTGAATTTTCACTTTCTGTGGACCCGTTTACCTGTACCTCCCTGTTTACCAAGACTTGACTGGCAGCTCTGGCTCGTTACATAGTGGTGCTGCAGCATTACAGATCCGTTCCAGATCACTTTCAGGGGGTAATATAGAGAACATCTTAACTTAAACATCTGGTCATAAAAGAGCCTGTTTGTTCAAAGCAGGTTATGGTGTGTTTGATGTACATTAGCATACTTGCTTGCTGTGTAGCTCATAGTTAATAATTTCCCAGTAATTTCCTGTAATCATTCTAGTTATTTTTCTTTTGGGCCAATGATCTTCTTTTGGACCAATCTTTCCCAGCCAATGATGGGTCTTTCAGCATATTAATTAGACAACAATTGCCTAATGGCACTGATTACATTATCCAGTAATGCAGATTAGCTGCCTGCAGTGATCAGAAGAATGGGTGGAAGTTTTTCTTTCTTGGACTTGGTATCAAATTAAGGATCAAATTAAGTTCAGGCTGAATTAAGTAGAAGTCTGTGGGTCAGGAACAGAA